GGTAATCAAATGAAAGCCTTGATGAACAATGGATGCAATATCAATGATTGATTATATAGCAATACTGAATAACGGATATTTCTACTGAGAACTAAGAATGGTTAAAACCAAATCTAATCTCAGAATACAATGGGAGTTTAACCCTTGGTATCTGATAAACACAACCTCCCTCGTACAACTTATACTATAATAGATTAACTGCAGTATAAAGTGTTTTAAATGTACAGTAGCCCCCCCCCATAATCTGATTATAATGCTGTATTAACTTCCATTTCGTTATGTTGAAAGTATGTGTAAAATGTTCTAAATTTGGTAAATTCGAATGGTAAATTCAAAAACCTCCAAATAATAGAACTGAATCCGTATTATTTCGCATGAGGCCAGCATTCACTTTCTCAAAGACTTCAGATATAGGATCACAAAGACCACTATTGATCTGTGTAAATGTGTATGAAAAGGGTATATTGGTTGCAATAGCATAGTGTATAAACATCTCTTTATGTGGATTTAGGTCAGATTACTCAAACATCATGTTGTTGTATTTATTTTAGATTTTCTCAGCTAGGTTCAAACAAAACTTCTTTGCAAGTATTCAGCATGCTTCAATTCGATATAAAGCTCAAGCTTTATTTCTCCAGAATGTTGCCTTTATACAAATTATAATAGCTTGACCCTAACTAAATGATAAGTTTAATGACAAAAGGACAGCTAGAATATACATGAATTTAATTCACAAAGAGATACAAATGCTCAAACCTAATTTTCAAAATAAAATATACATCAGGCCCGTAGCCAGCTTTTGAAAATAGGGTTCACTTTTAAAAAGATTCTAAGAGGGTTCACATTCGACAAATTTGGCCCAGACTTCAGGTTTGCTCTAACTACCCGAAACCCCCCCCCCCCTCCTGGTACATATACCAGTCTGCATATATAATGCCAGAATACATGTCACTTCTAGATGACTATATTATTAAATGCATGTATATATATATGTGTATTTGCTGAGTATACTAAGAAAATGCAAAATAAACTGAAGAAATAAATTATGACCCCAAGAACCATATTGTAAAAAACAGGAACTGTAGAAAGTGAAATCAATATTATTCAGACATTATACGGCTCAACAATGAAGAGTTGACTAGGTTACCTCATTCATTACAGAAGGTTGTACAGCTCATCCTAACCTGAGGCGCATTTGTAACAGTTGCTTAATGATGACTAAGCCTTTATTCAAAAAATATTGATGAATAGGATTATTGGAAACTGCATTATTAAGTTTCCCTTCTGAGACAATATACTGCACAAAGCTTCAAGTATACATGGAAAACTCATTATAAGATAAGTTTGAACAGATCTTCAGGAAATGACCTCAAATTGCATATAAACCAAGGCTGCGGTAATATGCCTGAAAATTTAATTTTACCAGGCAGAAAGATCCTCTTACCTTTAACAGTCTACTTCACTTAATTATAGAAAGGGGGAGAGAGTTTGCACTTGAATCCTGGACAAAGGACATATATTTCCAGGTCTCAATTATTATACTGCTGTTCACCAATATTGTTACAGTGAGTAATTACTATGCAAGTATATGAGAGAGCCTCATACAAGGTCAAAAATTTGGCATGTAACAGATGCCACAGATTGTGGCAAATATTGCATGCTAAAAATATGCATTAATCACAATATTCACTCCTGGTTTCTACATATGGGGTGATTTTACCTTCATATATAGAAGAAAACAGTTTTTAGTTGTATTTTTCTCAAACTATTTAATTTAGCAAAGATCATCCATTTCAAATAAATTTAGCATATACTACCAGAATATGACCTGTAACAAATACTATAATGGAAACCATGTTAATACAATAACATGAAGCTATGAAGAGTAACTGATACTTTATCTTATTATCTCATGATCTCATTATTACTCACATTAATTAATAATATTTTCCTTGACAAAATTATGTTGAGAAGTCGTACTGTTAAACCAGACTGAGTATATTCCTTATATGTAATTCTGTATTTCCTCCAAGAATGAACACATATTTTTTATATTTGTGATACATGTGGTATTTCCACAAATATGAGTGACTAAAATATATTTTATATTGGATGTTAGATCTACTGGCTTCTATTCCTGCCCCATATGCTCTTCAATATGCTTGACTTAGGAACCGTATCTTCTGTATATGTATATAATTTGACATTCTACCTAATTGAAAGATATATCAGGGATGGCATTAAAATGAAAGATCCCCATAACTTCCCATAATGTCTCATTAACGAGCCTGAGAAATAAAAGCTTGGGAAATAAGCAATTAGCACACATAACATTTTTTATAGGAGAAAAAAATCAATCACTTTCCTGACCAAAGATAAAGGAAGGCATGTGTATATTTAAGCCAATAAGGATTGAATGTGGTGATGTGAGAATCTACACATGTTACATATTAAATTCCATTCCAATGGTCTCCAGTTATAATAAGGCTAGTTTTATTTAACCTGTAAAAGGATACTAAAATGGAAAATACCACTAAAATTAATATAATTTTACTTAGTGATTTTGAAGAATAATTTCAATAGAAAAATCATAATCCCATCAACCAACATTATGTGCACAATCTCAAACCCACGCCAAAATGTCCAATACATGTTAAATACACTTAACACTTGCAACTCCACTTCAAATATTCAGAATCAGTATCCCATTGATTTTTAGAATGTAGTCCTGTATTTATGCATTCCTTTGCAAGCTTAAGCCACTAAAACTTTCTCTTTTATCATATGATATGGTTATCAACAAAAACACTTGTGTATCATTGTATCAAGTCTCTGGAGCCCCTTTGGGGGAGGGTCACAAGGGTTTGAAGCAAGACTACAAAAACATGTATCATGTATCAGGTTCTATAATATATGCATCTTTCCTTTTGTGCAAGTACATAATTATTTGAATTAGTAGCATGAACAGCAGGGTGAAATAATAATAAATAATAAAAAATTATTGATGTAACAAGCTTCTGATTATTCTTTATTAATAATTGATACAAATCATTAATGCAACATATAACCTGCATACCAAACTGCCTTCTATAGAAAAAACACAACCTATGGAGATTAAGATACTATTTAATAGCAATGACAAAATGCCTGTATCTGACAAAGCGATTTAAAATATAAAAAATCTGCCAAGTTTGTATTAAAAAACGAATTGCAAGTAATAAGACAAAATAAATGGTGCCAAAGTTTTAACTTAATATTAGAAATAGTGACAACATTTGGCGCCATTTAAGACCATAAAACACAGACACGTAGGAATTAGGAATTAGTCAAATTAGGACTTGTCAATATAAATGATCTGTTCCAGACTGTGTTACAATCTATCTTACCAATATAATATATTCTTAACATGCCATTACACTGTTGAATTCATTTGTCCAGACTTAAGATTAAATTTAACATTTGCTATATTTCACAAACCAAATAAGTAAAAGGCATTTTTGATAAATGTATATAGATGTATATGTCAATAATCTGCAAACTGCTAATAAAGTGATGCAAATACACTGTAGATCTATAGTAAATTATTAAATTGTTATTAATTCTTGAATCATAACATATTAAGATTTGATCAACAATTTCACAATATTTAAGGATGTTGATGAATTAAACATCCTTGATAATTGTGCAAATTGTTTTCATATAGCCTATTTTGATTATATAAAAATTGCCCCTTTCGTAAATATTGAAATTGCCCTTCATTAGAAAAACTTTACATTTACTAATGACTCTACATACAGTTGGGGACATAAATAAATGACAGGTGGATTTGCTGAAGTGAGGATTTCCCATGTTAAAAATAAGAGAATTTACAAGAGGCCAAACATCAGTGGATGAGATTATACAAAATGTAAAATATACAAATTTTAAGGGATATATATCTAGACAATATTGGAAATTATGGGCTTTCAGACTACCATAATTAGGAAATGGTGATCGAAAATCGACCTGTCATTTATTTTTGTCCCCAACTGTAAGTTAATTTCTCACTTTGGAGCTTCAAATCATATGCCAGAAGGTGCAAAATGAAACCAAAGACCTAACCTAGTTTAACCCTTTGCTCCCCATTTCACTTTATGGAGAAACAAAACTTCAGATATACACAAATAATACAATTCATGTATTTACCAACAAATAACCTTTCACTTATTCATTCCTATGTTAGTAGTTAAGTTCGGGTAAAACTCAAGAATGTATTTTAAATAGTCCAGATCCATTGATCTCAGCATCCCTTTTGTTTGCTAGGCCAGGATTCAAGGGAATTGATGGAGAGCCATTTTAGGCAAAATATTGAGGTCAATGAGGTTTACAAAACTGAAATTTTCTAATACAAATATACCATCGTTTTCAACAATCTTTATGCCATAGTGTTCGTAATTGAGTGTGTAATGCAAGGGTGTGTATATTAGGGCTGATCTGTGTAAAGTAATGGACAAAAACTTACCAGTAAGTCGGCATTTGACGTGTCCTTATGAGATACGGCACGTACAATTCCTGACCGCCATTCCCATTCGGATATCTTGCCCAATTTCAGCTTTCCAGAGTTGGCGACGGCCAAAAACCGCTTCCCAACTATCTCCTCTCTATACTTCAACGCCATTATACAATATCCATTGTCGATAAAATGACAAAAATTCACAAATTACATGAAAATGAAATCCGGAAAATTTCTCCTGTCTGCCTGTAGCGACGCGGATGAATTTACAAGGTGCGCGTAAGGGTCGAAAGGTCAATAGGTGGGTAATAACATTACGCCAGTATTGAAAAGAATATAATTCCCTTTCAATGTTGCACACTTTTGCATAAATTAATGAAACAAATTAATTTGTTGAAACATGTTTTGTGATATATGATACCTTGAGATAATATTTCAAATATTTAAGGAGTTTGAGACAGAGAAATATTAGATTTTGATTTTTTGTTTTTGATCACATGACAGTGACGTCATGTTCAAGTATGGCTGCCAAAAGTAACGACTTGGAATGAAGAGCCTGATATTTACCAAATAACTAGCTTGTAAGGAATATCTAGATGTCTAGACATAAGATTTTATAGAAAAAATGGTGTCTGCTATCATATCACGCGTAGTTATGTAAGTATAATGAACGTTTTTATCATTTACAGACGTTTTGTTCTTCCTAAAATTTTTGCCTTGTTTTCTTTTCTCGTCAAAATTGTCCCTCACTGGCAATCAAAACACTGAAAAGTAAAGAGGAAATATAAAACATGAACCATAAAATTCATGTTTCTAAAAGCTTTGCCATTGGACGCAAAGTCCTGTGTTTTCATTATAATAAAATTGATAGACTCGGAAAAAGATCTTACCTTCAGTCTTTCATTTGGTCAAAATCCGCTACACTCTGTTAAGCATGATAAAAGCACAGTCAGCACTATCAATGGTATACTTTACCTTTAGTAATAGAAGAGAGAAGTTCAAAAGCTGTTTGTCACGATATTTACCGATCCGTCCACTCTCTCCAATACGCATGCGCAGCCCGATGTAAAAAATAAGGCAGTGACTGGAGAGCCTAAAATTTTAGGCTCTTTAGCATTTTGGTAACCCATTTGGCTAAAGAGCCTTAAATTTTAAGGTTCTTTGGCATTTCGGCTAGAAAGCCTTAAATAGGGTCTTTAGCATTTTGATTGCCAATTTTGCTAGAGAGCCAGCCTTAAAGAAATTCTAAGTGACGGAAATGACAAAATATTGCTTCTGTGACGAGATCAAACGATTTTGACATATTTTTACTCAACCTGTTTTGTAATTTAACAACCAACACAAATTAACATACTATATTTAAGCAGATACCGGAGATATTCATAAAAATATATTTTTTGATCGATAAACTCACAGATTATTAAACCGGAAGTGTCTTCTCTGAGGTCCGCGAAGAAAACGAAGAAGGAAACATACAACGATTTTATTCATTTCACTTTTGCAGTGGATTTGATGTTAAATGCTTCTAAATGATCCTTGAATGCTTACTTTGACTTCCTATAAGAACTGTTTTGACTTCCCCACTTCATAAAAAGAACATTATCACTTTTTACTCGACTCGTAAATTTACTTCCGGTCTACCGAAAAAAAGTTCTTAGAACCTTTTCAATCTGTCAATCCTCAGTTTAAATTTGGCTTTTTAAAGGTTCAGTAACCTTCGTGGTGCGGCAACTTGGAGCAGTCATATACTTGTTCAATTTTACTAATCAGTAAAGATTTTGATGTTTAGAATAGGCCCTTGGGAGAATGGTGTTGAGGTCACATTTAGTGATGCCCAATTGGAGGCTAGCCTAAAAAAACGTTGATACAAATGAAGGACTTTTGAAGGGGAAGTTTTTGCAAAAAATTGAAAAAATATTTTGTGCCTCTTGTCATTTGAAAATCCTAAAAATCGGCATGGGAATCTAATAGGCAATAGATTTGGAAGTGTATTCTCTGATGTCCCCTGGCTGATGTCCCTACATTCCCGATAAACTGCATCATGATGTGCTGTATCTAGAATTCAACAAGATCATTTTCTTCATCCCAAAGTCTCCTTCATACTTTTTGCCACCTTCAAATGGGATTCCCCGTATGCTGTAAGCTTGTGAATATAGTAAAGCCAATACAAGTGATTAATTTCATTAAACATGGATGGTTGAGCGTTGGAGCGAGCCCATGAATTTTTAAAAAATTGTGTACATAATATCCGGACCTCAGAGAACAAACTTCATAATGAAAAAAATTGTACCAACATGGAATCGAACCTGCGCCGTTGGAGTATTAGGCAAACGCCATAACCACAAAACTAGAGTGTGTTTTCTTTTTGTAAGATCTATATTTCAATAATAAAACATATGTAAATAATATAATTATACATAGACCCAGTTACATTGTTTAATTTCTGTACAGTTTTTCATTTTTAAAATATGCATGTATACTTCCAGTTTTGTCTCTATTGAAAATTTGTATTTCCCTCCTGGTTATTAAAACTTCTTTATAATTCTTATACTTATTTATTCCTATAATTTGTTCAAAAGTGATATTATCAAAAAAATTCCATATATCCCTTATTTTTGTACACTCATAAAAATTATGTTTAACATTGTCAATTACATTACAATTTTAAAAAGAAATATCTCTAATTCTAAAACCATTTAAAATCTCATTACATGGATATACGTTGTGCAATGTTTTCCAATGAATAATTAAGAGTTTGGTATCTACTTTGCACTTAAATGCTCTAATCCAAGTTGCACATGAAATATCCTTACCATTATACTGTAGAAACAATTTTCTTTTATCTGTACATATAATCCAAAATCTGATGCTTCATAACATATTATCTCTATACCATTTAAATATACTAGAGTGGCTTGTACATACATTACCTTTAAGGCTCTTTGGCCGAAGTGCTAAAGAACCTTAAAATGTAGGCTCTCCAGTCACTGCCTTATTTTTAACATTGCTGCACATGCGTATTGGAGGGAGTGGAGGGATCGAGTGTGAGTTTGGACCAACTTTTGCAAGTTTGACCAGGAAATCACCTTTCATTTGGTATGTTAGTAACCTTTTTGATCGTATTGGTATGTAAGAATCATATATATGTCGAAATATAAGCATAAATGTCACAGTTTGAAGGATAAATGTCAGAATATTTACCGGAAGTGTTTATATTTCCAAAGAGCTTTCGGACTTTTCTCTTCTATTACTAAAGGTAGATTGATGGTGATGACTTTGGATAAAAGGCAAGAAGTTTAGTTAGAAATAAAAGAGTTATCTAATGAATGGGACCCTTACATGGCTCCTAAAAGGTAGAAGACACTAAATGGTGTAACACTATAAGCTGAATTTTGTCCACATAGAGCATGTGCACAATACTAAAGACATGTAAAATTGAACTGTCAAAATAATAGAAATTACTCACCAGCTCGCCTCTACCGGAAGTTATGATACGTTATGGTGTAACTACGGTAATTAATTTTAAAATATTGAAAAAATCAACAACATTCAATTTCTAGGGTGTACAACCATTTTCGAGCGAATTTGCCGATACAATAACAATATTTTTGAGTTGCCCTAGGCTATATATAAACTTCATCAATACACAGTATATTCAACATAGGTTTTGCTTCTCGATTTTTAAATATCACTATGCAAAGACAGGGACTCATTTTAGGTAAAATCATTGCTTCACCAATGAAAATTAAAGGGAACGTTAGCTCACAAAATAAATAAATCCATTACAATGTTAAGTATATGATTTGAAAGATTGTCTGGATTATATGTGTGATCGATTGAAACAAACATATTCATTTCAACTTGCAGACCTCCACTCTGGCTCATGTATAGGCCTAAGACGCCATATTGCCTTATGTATTGTACTGCCCATGCGTGCATACTTAATGCGTGACGTCATATCGACAGAGATCAGCGATCAAGTTTGACTAAAAAATTAAAAGATCCACACTTAACAGCACAAAAATGATATCAATGATCGCCTATTTCATATCAAATAAGTGTAGGATGTAAGGTTTAACATTTTTCATGTTATTTAGTATTTACAGAAGCAGAGCTTGTAAAGAAACCAAGTTTTAAATTCCGATTTTGACTGTTGACAAAAATAAAGAAAAGAGAGAAAGAGGCGACTTGTTAGAAACAATGACATGAAATTGTGAATAAAAAAGATATTATTGTGGGTTTTATTTTTTGAGAGTTCATCAAATACACTCATGTGTATTAATTTAAATATGTATTGTAATACCTCTCAGTTCTACCAAGGATTATAAAAACTGATCGAAATGGCTTCGTTTTTAAAGTATAAAAAACACTACCCTACCCGGAAGAAGAATAACATGTATATTGAAACCATGTGTAAACTGTAAATCACGTGAATTGGCTGATGCAATCAGGATGTGACTAGTACAAAGTAACTATGATGCAATCAGGATATGACTTGTGCAAAATAATTGGCTTCACCTAGAATTCGCGATCTTTGCTCTTTAGCATAACATGAAGACATGTTTTGTGTTTAAGTAGCTAGATTCAAATACAAACTAAATGAATAAAACATAAACAAACCATCATTTGTTCCAATCATGGCGAACATTCAAGGAAATATGTGTAACTGAATGTAAATCAACAGCGGAGCTCTTCAATTATGAGGTGAGAAAAATGTAAAAATAAAAACAAAAATAAATCTCACAGAATAGAGCTATTTATACGATTCTAAGTACATTTTAAGTGCTCCATACATTAATGTAAGTATAAAAGCCATTAACCTCAACTGGGAAGCACTTTCCAACTATTTTTACGGCTTAAATTGTAAGAAAATGGCACTTATCTCAAAAAATGGAAATTTGAAAGAAGCTCAATTTTTGTGAAGATGAAGTTTATATATATCTGTATATGGGGGTGCGAATATGTATAGTCATAGTATGGGCTAATTCGCTTAAAAATGGCGATATATACCTCAGAACTTGTATTTTGTGATTTTTTCAATATTTTAAAATTAATTACCGTAGTTACACCATAACGTATCATAACTTCCGGAAGAGGCGAGCTGGTAAGTATATTTCAGTTCTTTTGACAGTTCAATTTTACATGTCTTTAGTATTGTGCACATGCTCTATGTGGACAAAATTCAGCTTATAGTGTTACATCATTTAGTGTCTTCTACCTTTTAGGAGCTATGTAAGGGTCCCATTCATGAGATAACTCTTTTATTTCTAACTAAACTTCTTGCCTTTTATCATGCTTAACAGAGTGTAAATAAATGAAGGATATTCTATTTCTAGAGCTCTGATCATTTGTCGGAATCGTCGATGGCGATCGAAATGTCACTTCGACATCGACATAAGCGTCCAAGGTCGACATAGAACGACATAGAAATAATACGATGATAAACAAAGAACATACCTTAATTTCCCAACATACTTTTATCACTCTTGTTGAGATAATGGTTGCATTATCTAACAGAATTAACAGCGAATTTAAATATTGTTTTTCCCCCATTTTTCATATTCTTGTTTCACGTCTCGTTTTCGATCTCGAGAAGTCGTCTGTAGGTCGATGTCGTTCTGATTGTCACGGTAAGTCATTTTATTCAATTTCGTTGA